CACAACTGACACAGCTCTCACCATTTTATACAGTGCACTGCATCACCATATTGCTTGGCAATCTGATGGAAGTGTGCCGGATACAGCATGATGAGGGTGAACAGGTTTTAATATCAATATCTTTTGCCAAATTATTATGGCCTATTACAAAAAAGTCAGTCTTTGTCTTCTGGGTCTGAACACAATCAATGCTCAACTCTGAGTCCAAGTCTAAGTCGTCAGTGCTCAAGTCCAAGTCTCATGTCACAAATCCTGAAGATCTGAACTTGAATGCTACAACACTCCAACCTCACCATCCCACCCTACTCTGTCATGTCATGGCATATTCCCAGTTGCTGGTTGGTAAATGTTATGTATAGCAGCAGTCACATAGTGAGAATTTAGTCCCACATTTCTGACATTATTAGAATTTTGACACAAGCTGTCCCTTTTTGTGAAAATCGGTGCAGAGAGGATTTGAATCACTGTGTGCTCAGGACCCAGATGTTTCTCTCATGATGGTCAGCTTTAGTCTGGGATAGCACAATGTATAAGATCCTTAAGGGAATCAACTATGTAACTCCCATCTTGTTGGTGCAACTAAATCAATAAAATGCATTCAGTGTCCTTCTCTACATTCTAAGCCAATTTAAATCAGGTTTGTTATGTGACTGTAGGCCACAGAGGTGCAGCGCAGCCTTAACTGTGTGAGTCAGTGCAGCTGAAGCACAGTCCTAAGTTTTTTTTACAGTGCACTCCATCTCCTCTCGAGCCCTGTGGGGCATTAGAAAACTCTGCATCACAGTGCTGCGATAAAGCCACTGAACAGCACAGTGCACTTGGGCTTCTACTTTGTTACTTGCTATAACTCTCATACCCCTGGGAAGAGTGGGAGAGAAGCTTGACATGATGTGACCCATATTCACTTAGAGTGGAGAAAGCAAGAGGTCGAGAGGGTGGAGCAGCAGAGTGATAGGTGCATTATAAGAGGACATTTACAGCTACAGTATGTATCTATCTGACTATGTATTCCAAAAAACACTGGTATACAATTAACTTGCGGTAGAAAAAATGTACTGTAGTAAATCTAATGATGTCTGAACTACATTTTTAGCCATGTAAGTGGCATGGCAATGTCAGTCTGTCAGTCAGTCCATCACTTTCAGAAAAACATGTCAACAGCCACTGGACGGATTCCCATGAAATCTTTTAGAGATATTCGTGGGGTAATTTCCAATAGTCCCTCACTCCTGGATCTTACTAAACCTGGAAATCGTTCTTGTGCAACATCTTGAAGGATCACCCTTCAGATGAAGGATCCAAGGAAAGGGCATGTCATGTCCTTAAAAATGTGTTTCCTTGGTTCCTCAGGACTCTCAGACCCACTAACACATACGCTGCATGTCTTACTAAACGACCTGGACATTTCGCTGCCCCACAGAGTACCATACTCCAACAAATTGTTTTCTGTCAGTGCCAACAGCAACCTGGTGAGCAAGTTCACCATTATGTGGCCAACCCAAGGGGCTTGATTAGCCTCTGTAAATTCAGTGTTTTGGAAGATGACAGGATAAGAGACAAGTTAACAGAACACACTAATAACCCCAAAATCTGTGAGAATGTACTGCTGTCCCCTGACGACCTTATTCCAGCAAAGACTGTGAAAATAGCATTTCAGATTGAATCAGCAATCAGATTAGTATCTCAGCTACCAGGCCCCTTCCCCTTTCCCTCCCAGCCTGTGCTGCTGGTGCAGGCTCTGGGGCTGCCTCCAGCCTCTCCCGATACCGAGCCGCCTGACCTTGACATACACTTCACCAGTTGGGGAGGTGTGTCACCACGCAGTCCCTGCAGTAACTGTGGCTCCTCATGTAATGGAAAAACAGAAATTAATACCCATTCTATCTGCTCAGTATGCTCATGCTATCTATATATTTGTGCTGTTTAACCTTGTGTTTCACTTTTCTCCCAAAGTTTACACACAGATTCAGTCTCTACACATGTCCACAAACATCTATACAGACATGCACACTTCACAAACACATACACACCCAGTCTCTACTGATACACACTCTATTGCCTACACAGCTCAACTGTCTGGGCTCAGTTGCTAATCTGAACGAATACCTTGGTGATATTGTGGTGCATGGTCCATCACCAGCCCTGCATGATGAACAGCTGACCAGGGTGCTTAATGTCCTCACGCCGTATTGGGGACAAATGTCCCAGCCAACGGAGAGGCAGGATCACTGCCTGCTAGCATCAGATGAAACAGCACTTTAACAAGAGACAGCGCGTGTAACCACCACGTCTCATGGTATTGGACTGGAGCCAGGTCCACCGCCCTCACCAAGATCAAAAACTGCTTCCTGTCTTGTCTGCACCTTTGAAAGTACTCGTGAGAGTCATGGTGGCATCCTAGTCAACTTTGGAGGGTGGTGCCACCCCACAACACGAACTCTGCAGTTGCTCCACAGTCAGTGACATGTACCTTCAAGCAGAGCGGCTGCAAGAGCTGGCTGGGCAGCCAGCAGAGCCAGCACAGTCCAGGGACGAACTGGAGGCCGGCTTGGACCTGGGTCAGACCGAGTTATCTCAAATACTATGTTACAAGTTTTTGATTTTATTAGGGTGTAGCCTGTCAAATGGCAGAATAATCCACATGGATATGCTGGTAACTGCCAGTCTACTCAGGTCACCTAGTTAGGATGTAAGTTCACATGTTCAGATTGTTGAGGGAGAGATAAATGTTGTGTATGGGCAACAGTAGTTGGACTGTCATCACAGCTTTACAGCAGTGTGCAGTGTTTTACGTTAATTCTTGCCGGGAAAGTTGTTGTGAGATACTGATTTACAGAGGATAGAATAGAGTGAAGTATGTTCAACGGCAGCAGTCATCTGTGAGTTATTGGACAGAACACCTTCATTCCAGGACTACTACACAGAACAGAGAGGTGGAAAACTCGCAAAACATTCCTGCCTCAAATAGGCATTGTAAAAGGGGCTAAAGACACAACAAATGCAAGGATCCCACTGCAGTGACAGTGAACTTGAGAGCATTACGGGCTCTGTCACAAACTGTATTTGAACGGTGCATTTTCTCAGTGTGTATCATTGGCCTTTCTTTCCTCACCTGTTAAAACACAACACATGCTGCTTTTTCATGTATCTTTTTTTATGATAAACTCTATTGAATGGAACACTGACAGCCTGACTAACATCAAAACACTCTTATGAATGCATGTCATCCCACTTTTTATATTTATGGTCAGGCCTGTCCTGCACTTTTAGAAACACTGCATTAACCAATTAATTTGAAAAAAAAATTGAAATATTAATCAATAATAAAATAATTAGTTGTGGCCCTTAAACCTCTTAATCTTAACCATGTCTTTTATAAGATTTAACCTAACAACCTGATGCAAACCCCAGCTATTCTATTCAGTATCTATCTATCTATATGCACGGACAGAAATCAAGAGACATACAGAGTCAAGATCGAAGGAAGCAGGAGTGAAAAGGATGAAGTGAGAGAAGGAGAAGGGGTATAAATCCTCACTGCTGCAGTATTAATTCTTAATTGGAATGAGATGCCGTCGTTTGACGTAGCGATTCTGCTTCATTTAGCCTACATCAGGAGACCCAGGGCAGAGGGCTACAAAGCTGTTTCAAAGCACTCAGCAGAAAACTCTGCAACAAGGAGGAGAAAGCAGCATCTATTCCCTACTTGAAATAATCCAATTCATAATAAAACACCCACCCACACACACATACCTGCCAGATTTATAGATCGCTACCCAAATGGTAAATACAACTTGCATCTCCAGTTCTGACTGGCCAGAAAGCCCTCACTGAGTACCCCAAAGAAGAGTGGACCATCTGGCCTGTTCCTCCCTCCAGAGGAGCCTGATTGCAAAACCTGGAGGTGGGCCCAGAAACGTAGTCTCAAGTTTAAGTGCCAACTGTACTTAACAGTAACAAGTTAAAGGTTAAGAATGAAGAACTGTGCTGTTTTCCTTTTTAAAAAGAGAGGAAATGTTAATTTTAATGGTGCCTTCAGCGGGAATCTGCAGCAAAACACAGCTTCATTCTTCTATGCAATATAACTTTCCTACTACTACAAAGCAAGCAGTACTACATTTTTCCATTACAGTACTGTCGCTTCTATTCCTCAAGAGGTTGTGGGAAAGGCGAGTGATTCACAAAATGAAAGGAATGTTTTGCTCTTTACTTTAAAAGTCTACATGGAAAAATCTAGTACTGGTGCATAAGAACAGCAGGGAGGACACTATAAAAAGGCCCTTTCTGTTTTACAATAACAGACTGCACAGACTTAATGTTGCCTGTCAAATACAATGAGCTTCTGACTACTTAAACTAATTAAATGAAATGGTCAACCTCGCCTATAACTTCACTAATGCTCCAACTAGGCTAAACATCACTTTCTTGTCACTGTTCTCCACTGGTGCCATTATGGTTTTTGTTTTGTTTTGTTTTTTAAGCGAATGACTCCCCAGATTTAACTGGGAAATACAGACATTAGGGTAATGAGTGTGGTGTTATATAAAAACAGACATATGATATGAGGCCATATGTCAATAAATCTGTAGCTTTCAATGCTCAGAGAATCTACTAATGAAGGCTCTAACTCATCCTATGGTAAGAGGGAGGCTAAATTATTGTCCAAATACTACTTGTTTTCATCTGATAGGCAGAACTTGATAAACATTACTGAAGTATTCTCTTGACTGAAACACTAAAATGTAATTACTCATCTGCCAAATGATCTTAATAGTTTTTATGCATGCCCAGTCATAGAGTGGACTACACCTTTTAGAGCCCTGAGCTTTAAATACCCACCGTTTATTGATGTAATCGCCAACACTCTCAAATTATATAACAGCAGAAAATAAAACAGGGTTGCTGAAGTATCTCTTGGCAACAGAGCTGAGTGGACAAGCCCAAAGTTGTCTGTCATCACATTCCTCTTGTGTTTTCAATAAGGGTTTACCATTACTTACGTGTATTGCTGGGGGAATGTGAGACCCACTGCTCCAGGCCACGATGCGTTGAAAACCAAGATAATCTGGATTGATACCAAGCATACGACGCTGTAAGAGCTTTTGCCTATCGCCATTTTCCATTAAAAATTCTCGTCACGGGGTTTCGGTGTGTGAATGAAACGCTCCCGACTGTCTCCGGGGCATATAGCGAGCTGTAGTGTGAACGTCCGGCTCAGTTTCCTGACGACTTCATATCGGTCTCTGTAGTCAAGTGGATGCAGAGGAGGCAGGCATTGGCCGCGGAGGCATCGCGGACGGTGGGAGATGCACTAATGCAGCTGCCAAGACACTGCAGAGTCTTTTCTCCTGCTCCCACATACACCACCACCACCACAATCGCACAGACCGGCGCGTTCACGACAGCTCTCTCTCTCTCTCTCTCTCTCATCAGCATCCAGGCGCGTCCACGCTCACTAGGCAACAGAAGAGCAGCAGGAGTTTTTATTTATCGCTGCAGAGCCACGTGGTATTTGTCATAAATTTGGTATTTATACTGTGCATATGGGGTAGAGTAAGCCAGGGGCATGCAGCAGTCCCAGGAGTCAATGGTTCCTGAATGCAACTAAATGAATACACTGTTTTATGCTCCATACCCCCCAAAAACGCTGCAATAACAACCAAGCCCAGATGTCCCATGTTTCCTAAATGTCACCCGGTGTTGGTAATTATATGGCTCCCTAACCTTTTGGCTTATGATTCCTTTCATAAACACCTATGTCTAGTTGGGGGGCCCTTATTTGTATATGTATTTATTTGTATGGATAGTCTCTGGGCAAAACCGGAAACTGTAACCTAATGTCTTGATGGACCAAATGACAATTTGCATGTGATACAACAAGCTTCTTAGGTGAAACATTAGGCTGGTATTCTGTTTCAGGCAGTAGGCTACAAGCTTACCCGCATTTTTAACTTGCTTATTGCCTGTACATTCATACCTCAGCTCAAGACCCCATGTTGTATACATCAGACCATATTCTCTCTTGAAATCGAAATGTATCATTATTTGTGTCAGTTTTTTGCATAAAATATAAATAGCAAATATCCTAAAAACTAAAACTAATCAGCTCTTTTAAATTTTATATTTGAAGTCGGTGCATCCAAATACATTAACATTGGCACATTTCAGATTAAAATTGTAGACCAGTGTTACTGGCCACAGCTCAGGTCCAGGGGCCCAAGCAATCAGTAGCCCCGTCACTCAGAACCCCATGGCTGGATTAACCTCCTGTGGGGCCCCTATTGATCTGTACAATACATGGCACTTTCATTATTTCCCCTGGCACCCAGAAACCAATGAGCTGAAATAATAAGTCAACTTATCAATTAGATAATCGATAAGAAAATTAATTGCCAACATTTTCAATAATTGATTACTCATAGAAGTATTTATCTAAACCAAAATGCCAAAAATTCACTAGTAACAGCTTCTTAAATGTGACTATTTGAGCATTTTCTGATAGTAAACAAGATCTCAGTGTCAGTCAGGGGCGACTGTGGTTCGGTGGGTAGAGCAGCCGTCTCCCAACCAGAGGGTTGGAGGTTTGATTCTCGATACCTGCAGTCCATGTGTCAGAGTGTCCTTGGGCAAGACACTGAACCCCCAAGTTACCCCCACTGGTTAGAGCCATCGGTTGAGTTGGCGCCACAGATGGCTTCCTTGGTTCTGTACTAGAAACAAATTCCTTGTGTGTAACATACTGTATACTTCACTGGTGCAAATGTAGGTTTAAATAGGCCTACAGGAAGTGATTCTAGGGCCTGTTTATCTGGTTGGTAATCCAGCCTTCAAGGGGTCTTGTTTGCAATCACTGTTAATGTGACTTTGAAAAGTCATATTTCCTGATCACTATTTTTTTTGCTCTCACAAAAGGCTTATAGTTTTCAGTTTCAGACAAGTAATAAAATCTAATATACATTAAGGTAGTTCTGGGTTGAATGTGTGACACTATATAGTTTCAGGTGAAAATTATGAGTGAATAAATAAGCACATATTTCTTTTCAGTAAAGTAGGAGAAACTGGATCTAGCACCTGGTCTAAACATAGGAGAGGATGTGCATCTTTTGGAATTACTACATATGAATACATAGTAGAGTGTGTTAAATACAGTGGGTACGGAAAATATTCAGACCGCCTTAAATTTTTCACTCTTTGTTATATTGCAGCCATATGCTAAAATCATTTAAGTTCATTTTTTTTCTTCATTAATGTACACACAGCACCCTATATTGACAGAAAAACACAGAATTT